TGATTGCCTGGGGGAAGAAAGGTGGGAAAGGCTACCTCTTCAGAGCTTGCCTACTGAACCAGGAAGAGTCATCTACTCAGTAGACTTTGAAAGGAATGACTCCTCTGGGTTTCTCTCTCCCTTCCTCTTTGTGGCTCTGTCCCGCTGCAGAGTTTAAGTCTCTATTGATTGGTGGCTCCTGCCTGAACTCTCTATAACCAATGAATTCTTGAACTACTGCATGGGATGTCTCCTAATGGGCAAGTAGTTCAATTGCTAGATGTTGTAGAGTTCATGGAGAGTGAGGAGAAGAAAGAAATCCCCTCTTCCCTCTCCCACTGTACTGCCCTGGTATAGGCCCAGGAGCCAAATTCAACATTCTTCTGACCTTCAACTTTCAATCAACCCACTGACCCTAACACTGGCTGACTAAGCTTTTCAAGGGTGTCCGGGGCCAATTTTCAGCCAATCAGTCCCAAACTCCCTTTCTAATTCAGTTGAGGAATCTGGCCTCAGACAATTCCTAGCTGTGTGACTCTGGGCAAGTCACTTAACCCTATTTGCCTCAGTTTCCTCATTTGTAAAATGAGCTGGAAAAGGAAATGGCAAACCACTCCAGTATCTCTGCCAAAAAAATTTCAAATGTGGTCATGGATAATTGGACACAACTGAAACAACTGAAAAATAACAACGCTCTACATGTGAATACTCAGCTTTCCTCTTCTCTATCACAAACTCTAGGAGGGTTTTCTATCATTCTTTCTATCATTTTCTATTATATCAAGTTTTCTATATTTTCTGTTTCAGTGGACACTGTCTTTCCTGTTAGAATTAGACAGATCTGGTTCCTAGGTGACCTCATATGAGTATGCCTCTCCCCTCCCCCATTCTTTAACACAACAACAACCAAAACCCAAACTCAATGAACACCAAATAAAATGAGCTTTCCCATACTCATAGAACAGGAGATGATGGTACATGGAATGGGGGTTCTCTGAAGGCAGAGCTTGCTTTTCTCTTTAAGTGTATCACAGATTCTACATGTAATTTTCAAAGCTGTCCTACTGGTCTGTGTTTCCTTCTAGAGTTCCTTCTGTTCTCTTCTCATTTTTTTTTTTGTAAGGGAGAATCTATCCATTCCCCTTCCCTGTCTTACAACCCACATACTTTCTTTCTTTCTTTTTTTTTTTTTAGTGAGGCAATCGGGGTTAAGTGACTTGCCCAAGGTCACACAGCTAGTATGTGTCAAGTGTTTGGTGTGAGGCTTGATTTGAATTTGGGTTCTTCTGACTTCAGGACCGGTGCTCTATCCACTGTGCCACCTAGCTGCCCCCACATGCTTTCTTAATATACAGTGCTACCCCATGCTGCCTTTTATCCATCCTGTTTCTTTTGGTTAAGTTATACCCATGCAGAACCATAATCTAGTCATGATTCTCCCCACCTCCAACCATCTCAATGATATCTGTGAGGTCACAGTTACCTCCTTGAGATCTCTAGCTCATCTGGCTTAATCTTTAGTTATCTGTGTATAGACATGGGAAGCCATAGGTTTTACAACTGGATCATTTCTTGGATTTTATATGCTATGAACTTCTAGTTATCTCAACCGCTCAAGGCCTCTTCCTTCATTGTAGTTACTCTATATGGTATCTAGTTTAGGAGGTAGGGCCTGGATCTGCGATTTCATTGGTAAAGATAATTCCTGGGTGAGGAATCTCCATCTACCAGTTCAGGTTGGCACCTTCTCTGCAATTTACAGTCTTAGAAAGTGGACTAGATTACCGAGAAGTCAAATGACTTGCCCAGGGTCACACAGCCAACATGTGTCTGTAAAAATATAGTCTTTTCCCTCCCTCATCCTGTTTAACCTTTAATCAATCTAATCTAAATTATATTTTCAAAGTACCAGCCAGGGGCTCAGTGGCCGTACACCTAGACTTTTAGATTAACAAGACTAACACTTGTGCACACAGGAGGGCCAGAGGATTGGTAATAACCAGCTCTGTGAGAGCCCTAGAGTTTTACATCACCCTTGATTCTGTTCTAGCTTAGGTGGTATGCACAGCTGTTGGTGGGAGCATTGAAATGATAGCATATGGCCCTCATTACCAGAGAGGGTCAGGAACTTGAGCATCTCTGGCTGGTTAGCCTTCTTCATAATGTTTTATATAATTAAAGTAAAAATCTGTTCATTTCTGTTATATCCATATTTGTGATTTTACTGGTGTATTAAACACATAGTAAAGAAAAAAAGATGTCCGTGTATCTGTATCTGTATCCATATCTATACCTAATTTGTATCTTTATCTCTCTATCTCTATCTCCTTATCTCTCTATCTAATAAATGCTTGCTTGGATTGAATCATGTAAACTTGGAGGGAGATCTTTATTTGAGTGGACAGGGATGTGAAATATATACATATATTATATATTTGTATCACATAATATACTGTTGTTGTTGTTCAGTCATTTCAGTCACACCCAACTCTTAATGATCCCATTTGGGATTTTCTTGGCCAAGATATTGGGGTAGTTGGCTTTTTCCTTCTCCAGCTCATTTTACAGACGAGGAAACTGAGGCAAACGGGGTGAAGTGACTTGCCCAGGGTGACACAGCTAGTAAGTGTCTGAGGCCAGATTTGAACTCAGGAAGAGGAGTCTTCTTGGTTCCAAGTCCAGTGTCCTAACCTCTGCACTACCTAGCTGCCCATAATATATTATATATTATGTAATAAATTATATATTATATAATATGGTATATGTAATTATAGAAATAAGTATTTATCAATGACTTGGATGAAGGCATGGATGTGCTACGTGCTTATCAAATTTGTCCATGACTCACAGATGGACAACGAACACTTTGGATGGCAGGTGCAGGATCCAAAAGATTTGACTGGCTGGAAGGATGGACTGAATCTAATAAGGTGAAATCTAATGAGTTTTTAAGAATAAACACACACACACACACACACACACACACACACGTATGAGATGAGAGAAGCTTAATGGCAGAATATCTGCAAAAGACCTAGGAGTCTGAAGGAAATGAAAAGCTCCATATGAGTCAACTATGTCATATGAAATCCAAGAAAGTTGGCGCCATCTTGGCTGCATTAACAAAGGTGTTGCTCTCTGTGCTTAGTGTTGCTCAGAACAAACCTGGAGCTTGGTTCTGGGCGCCATATTTTAGAAAGGACATTGATGAACTGGAGTGTCCAGACGGAGGCAACCAAGATGGCAGAGGGCCTCCTGTTTGTGGCATATGAGGATCCATTGAAGGAATTGGGTATGTGTAGCCCAAACAAAAAGGAGACTTGGGAGGAATGTGATAGCAATCTTCAAGCATTTGAAGGGACGTCATGTGGAAGAGGGCTAGGCTTGTTCCATTTGGCCCCAAATGACAGGAATAGAAGCCAGTCATATTTTGGTGGAAGTTTCAGAAATGTTTAAGTAGGATTAATGTGAAGAAAGACTTACTGACAATTAGGACTACCCCGAAGTGACATGGGTTGTCTCAGGAGGTGGTAGCGCCACTTCATTAGGGTTTCTCAAAGAGAGGTTGGATGGCCATTTGTTAGGGAAGTTTTAAAGAGAATTCTCAGTTTGGATTGGACAAGATGGTCTCTGGGGCTTCTTTCAACTCTGTGAGTCTGATATTTATATTTCTATAGCACTTTTAACTTTGAATAGTAGAATCATAATTTTTTTAGAGCTGGAACCAACTTCTGAAGTCATCTCATTTTACTGGCAAAGAAACTGAAGAGTAGAGATGTCAAGTGGCTGACCAAAGGTCTCATAAGCAGGATAATTGTCAGAGACACCATTTGAGCCAAGAAGTCCTATTCCAGTTTTTTCAAAGAATTTTTATGAATATTGTCTTATTTTGCCCCCATAATCTCTCTGTAACATAGTGACTTGGGTTGGGAATTCATAGGACTTTTAGGGGCAGAAGAAGTGATCAGATGCTTCTATCCAGTCCCTACAATTTAGCAGTAAATGCTTTCTAAATAGGTAACTCCATGGTAAACCAGCAGCTATGTCAAAGAAATAAAAGACAGCTTATGTACAAAACTTGTATAGAGATTTATTAAAGACTATTTTGTAACCAGCTGGACCTCAATCAGGAATCAAAGAAGACAACAAGCATTTCAGTTTTCTTTCGGATACATATAGAAGAAAGAATGGAGCTTGATTTGGGCTTGTAGGTTGCCTTACGTTCATCATCTGTGACACGCAAGTTCCAGGATCTATAGATCCATTGTGAGACACAACAGCAAAAGCCAACTTCCAACCTTTCGCATGATATATAGAGTTAGTCGTACTACAACATGCATTAATGATGCAGCACTGATTTTCTCAATTCTCCGGGATTCTAAAGGAATGATTGGTGGAGAAATGAGGTGGGAACTGTTGCTTCTGCTTCAAAATCTACATTTTAGGGATCTCTGAGTATTATACCTGATGGAGGGGGGTGAAGGAAGATGAAAAGGCAGGAGGGATGGGGCACAGGGCACTGGTTGACCTCATGGTTGACCTTGTAAGTGATTTATCCATCTTAGAGAAGTAGAGTCTTGTTCTCATGGCCTTGGTTTAGGGTAAATGAGACTCTTCTCTTTACGGTTTCAGGGTTGGGGGTAGCAAATAACAATAAAAGAATTAAAAGATGCCATTATGTTTTTACATAGCCCGAATTCGGTAGCGCTTCACTTTCTCAGGCCAGTATCTACACTGTCAAGCATGTTACTTCTTTTTAGATGCACCAAGAAGTCTAACATTCATTCACAGCTTTTGTTTAGTGCCTCATATGTTGGAATGTCTTAATGAGATAGATAATGATAACAGCCAGCATTTATATAGCATATTAAGGTTTGCAAAAAGCTTTACAAATATTATCTCATCTTATCCTCACAACAATCCTGGGAAGTAGGTGTCATTATTATTCTCATTTTGCAGGCAAGTAAACTGAGGTAGACAGAGGTTAAATGACTTGCCCAGATTCACACAGCTAGGAAAAATACACAAGGGCAGATTTAAACTTAGGTCTTTCTGACTTCAGGTCCAGAGTTCAATTCACTGCACCACCTAGCTACCATAGTATTCAAAGACAGACAAGGGGCTAAATAAGGCTGCCAAGACTGATAAGCTAGCAGGTATACAGAGACTAAGGGGTTTGCTTAGGGCCAAATAAGTAATTACCAAACTGTCAGAGCAGTGACTAGAACCTGGGTCTCCTAACCCTCAATCTATTGTTTTTCCTATTGGATGTTATGCATACAGAGCTTCAAGGCAGGAAAACAATATGTTTCCTTGTCTCAAAGTTTGTTGACTAATCTTAATGCAGACCTTTAGACATATAAATCTTTAAAAGAATGAGGGCTGAGAGATCCGCCTCTCCAGTTGTGTCTCTTAGAACTCCTGAAGCCAGCGTACTTTCCATCCTTCTTGGGAAATTGTTCCCGGATCTTCCACCGGCAGCAGCTGGGGAGGATAGCAAAGGTGGCCATGTCCTCAGAGCCAAAGCGCCAGTCAATGTAGCGCCTGTAGGCACAGTGACGGAGCTGGTCATTCAAGGCATCTGCATCCATCTCCAGCAAGGGCTCTTGGTAGAGCAAGATGAAGCGCAGGTTGTCCCTGGAGAGGACCAGCTCCTCAAAAACGACTGAGGTGGTGATGCAGGGACCCTCCATCTTGCGGCAGCAGAGCTCCTCTATGAACTTGCTGCTTTCTGGCAGTTGGGATGGGCGGCACTGTCCACAGCGGCACCACTCGGGCCTTTCTTGGGATTGAGAACTTGGCTCTTCATTAAGAACCTGCATTTCTTCTGGGGTTGCAGGACTGGGGCTGGAGTCAGGGCATGGTGGTGGGGACAGCTTGTCCAAGTCTTTGAAATCCTTTTGGGGTCTCTGCAAAAGACAAGGTTCCAGACTCATCCAAAATGACATATCCCCATCCAACTACTTACAGGAGTGAGGAACCTGTGGCCTCGAGGCCAGTTTGGATTCAGTCAAAGAGCCACCCTTGAGGACATAGAAAGCCACATGTGGCCTCGAGGCCGCAGGTTCCCTACTCCTGACTTAGGAGATGGGTCTCTGCATCTGTACTTCCTTAAGTGGTAATGGAGCTGAATTCCTCACCTGCCTCCTTACAGACACAAATCAATTTCATTTGATTAGAAAGCCATTTATTAAATTCAGAGTACCTTGCTAGATGCTAGAGAAGAAAAATGACAGGCGCCCTGCACTTCTTTGCAAAGGTGGAGGACTGTGGTGCTGAATACTTCATACAATGTCAGACTTTTCCAATATATTGTTCAGTTTTGCTCAACTGATTTCCCCCCTTTTTTTCATTCATGCACCATCAACCTAAGTGGTTTAACTTACTGGACTTTCTTCACCCTCTATATCTTGCAAACTTTCTTCTAGCGAATCTTGATTTATCATCCTAATGTTCGGCTCATCCACAAAAGAAACATACTTTAATGTCTAGAATAAAAAAAGGTTAAGAAAAAATGGTCTATTAATAATTATGAACACTCAGCAGATTGGGACTGACAGTGAAAAGAGCTCTATGTCCAGGACCTGAGGTTCTTAGTATGAACCCCATCTTTACCACCTATTAGCTAGTGACCTTGGACAAGTTACTTCACCTCTCCAGGCCTCACAGGGCCTCCAGTGCTTAGCACAGTGCCTGGAACATAGTAGGTGCTTAATAAATACTTAATACTTGTTAATTAAAACGAGAGTGTTGGATCTTTCTTCCATGAGAAGTCACTTTACAGTCATTGTCCAAGGGTATTTTATTCAGTCATTTTTTTAGTTGTATCTGACTCTTCATGACACCATTTGGGGTTTTCTTGGCAAAGACACTGGAGTGGTTTGCCATTTCCTTCTCCAGCTCATTTTACAGGTGAGGAAACTGAGGCAAACTGGGTGAAGTGACTTGCCCAGGGTCACCCAGCTAATAAGTGTCTGAGACCAGATTTGAACTCAGGAAGATGAGTCTTCCTGACTCTAGGCCCAGCATTTTATCCAACGCACTACCTAGTTATTCAAAGGCAAGTATTATCCTTGTTTCATCTCTCAAGATATTGAGACCCACCTGCAGCTTTAATAATGTCCATCAATTCAACTCCCAAATCCATCTATGAGTCAGAAATGGAACCCAGATACCTTGACTACCAATCTTAGACATTACCCATTAGAAGAATTTTCTGCATGTTTACTGCTTACAGCCTAAGTTGATCACGTCTAAGTATCATTTATAAACTTCTGAAATTATTTGCATTTCCTCAATTATTAATACTTTAAAATAAGAAAATGCCTGAAATTCTGTAATATAGCAAAATGAAATATTTAGAAATATCTGATTACCTCTTCCAAATCCCATACAATAATTTCATCCCAATTTCGGTTCTAAAAAACTGTTGGGTTTTTTTTTTTCATGAAGCTGGATGTTTATTTAAGGTTTTAGAAAGCTATATAATAGACAAGGAGTACTGCATTCAACCATGCCATAAAGGAAAGATATTTATATTCTTGAATTAAAAAAACAAAAACCCTGTGATGTTTTTGTAAACCCTAAATCCTTGAGATTTAATATCACATAGCACTTTATATAATACCCCAATATCAAGGCTACTTTCCTTCTACTCTGTATTTATCTAGTGTGTATTTATTTGTTTATATGTTATCTCACTATTTAGAAATTTAACTACTTGAGGGCAGGTACTATTTTTCCTTTTTCTTTGTGTAATGGGGGTTTGGTCTATGTCTAGACCACCAAAATGGGGTCATCTACATGGGAGATGCTGGGGGATCTGCTTCTGGAAGACAGGAGAACTGGTGCATGCATAGACATTCTGTGTTGGCCTACCTTGGGGTTGGGAGCAGTCTTTTTCCAGCATCCTCATAGCTGGAACTGTCTGTGTCTTTAAAACAACCTGACTGAGCACATTTAGGCTTTTCCTGCATTTGCATTTACATCTAAGGATGAAGGACTTCTTCACTCATAACAGGTGACACCATTCAGTAACGAGAGAGGATCTGAGGGCCACCTCCCTCACATTTCCCATAGGCCACACAGCTCCGAGAAACAGACCTGAGTTTTTTTTTTTTCCCCTCTTGTGGTCCTTTTCAGTTTTGGATAGAGCAAATAACCTAGGAGTTCAAGCAATTGGGATCCAGGAGTCCAGGAATTCAGGCCTTGTGTTACAGCCAGTCTAGCAGTGAAGCCCTAAGAAACAAGGGTCTAGGATGCTAGCTCAGTAGGGTTTTGATCCTGAACAGTTGAACAATTGTGAGCCTAATCTCCTCTGTTCCCCACACGGTATCAAGGCCCAACTGTTGTAAGAAATGTTTGTCTGTATATTCTGTATAACTTTGAAGTAAATATTCCCCTGATATTTAGTGTTTAAACAGAATCAGGGGGCTAGTCATTGGGTCCCCAAAATGAAGAACGTAATTGGTGAAGGCTTAAGCCAGCCTTAGAGAACAGAGACTCCCCAACCTTTTCAGGATACCTGAGAACCCTGAGGCTTGGAGGGCGTAATAGAACTGGCCTTCGGAGAGTAGGACTAAGTAAGGCAAACCAAGTTACAATCTATTTGTAACCCCAGCACTTAGCCCACTGCCTAGCACATAGTAGGTGCTTAATGAAGACTTGGTCTGGGATCTCATCAACATGTATAACATGAAGCCTAAAGAAGGAGGGCTGAATTCTTCAGTTGCTGTTTTGCCGCTTCAATCCAACATGGCGGATTCCCTACTCTGAGAGCCCCCCTCTTGGCCAAATTATCAAGCTTATTTTCCTTATCCTTCTGCTTCCCATTTTTGTCTGGAGTGACCTTATAAACAATGGTATAGCCTGAGAAGACTTTGGGACAAGGTTAGGAGAGTAGTCTGTGAGTAAAGAACAGCAAAGTTCAGCAGCACATAGTGGATCAGACCCAGGATGCTGGTGTCCTTTATGAGGTAAAAATCCTCCTCTGATGCTTACCAGCTTTGTAACCTTGGACAAGTTACTTAACTTTCCCAGCCTTCAGTTTCTCATCTGTAAAATAAAGCAGCTGGACTACATGAACTGTGAGGTCACTTCTAGGTCTTGACCCATGAGCCTCTGGTTCCAACTGACTTTTTTTAAATCACAGCAGGTTTCTGGCATTAAGTTGAGGAAGACAGCAGCTCTTACCGATTTAGGTTGGCCAATGATTTCATATTTCTTTTCGTAGTAGTATTCATTGACAGAACAGGGCTCACAGACCTTACACCAGGAATAAAACCGAGATCGACAACAGTTCTTTGCGTACACCTGAATCAGAAAGTCAATCAACACCGTGGCCTAAGGGGAGAAAAAAGAAAAAAAAAAGATTAGAACTCTTGAGCCAAAAAGGTTTCAGAAATATAGAAAATAAAATTGCTTACCAAACCAAAGTAGGAGATAGTGGAGCCCAGGTACACGATCAGCTGGATAATGTCAAACTTTCCTCCCTGAAATAAAGTGGAAAAGGTTATTTAAAATTCAGGATGGAAGAGCCTGGGCCCAAACATCACAATTTCCCTTGATGGAATGTCATGGGGACACCCATTGAATGGCAGAAATTGGCAGAGCCATTACAGCGCTCGTGGGAAATGTCACAATAAGGTTAAGTTGACAGACAGGCTGAGAGTGACTGAAAGGTTTCAAGGGGTCTGATTTGCATTTGATTTGCATATACCTTGTTCCCATGATTCAGCTTGGATCTATTTGGGCCTGGAGGAATCTCTGATCTTAGAAGTTCCTTCTGGAGACAACCAATTGAAGGAAAGGCTAGCGCTGAATCATTTTTCCTCTAGAAAGTGAGACTTTTGAACCAGCCACCCCACCACAGATCTGCAGGGTTGTCTTGGCTGGTACCAGCTAGCAAGCATAGCACAAATTCCTCCCCATGTGTCTTTGTCATCCTGTTGCCTATGTACAGATATAATGGGCTCTTGCTTTGGACATCAGGCATGAGCCTCAGTTTCCTTCCCTCTAAAATGAGAAAAATACTATTGCAATTTCTGCCTTTCAGGGTTGTTGTTAATACTTTGCACACCATATAATCACTATGTGAATGAGTTAAATAGACTGATTCTGGATGAGGGAATTCCATTTTGCTTATCTGCAACTCTGCTTCCAGAGTAGCCTGGGGACATTAGCCAGGATGTGTCAGTGGCAGGATTTGAAACCAGGTATCCCGGACTCTGAGGACTCCTTAGCTACTATGCCACACAGCCTTGTATGAACATTGTTAGCATCATCATTATTATTATTCAATAATTATAACATGCTGGCAAACTTAACAACCACCAGCAGAATTTTCATAAATTCAGATGTTAATTAGGCATTGTAGCACGTGCCTGTAGTCCTGGGTGCGGGGGAGACTGAGGCTGGTGGATCAATTGAGTTTGGGGATTCTGTGCTTCCAAAGGGCCAAACTGATGAAGTGTCCATTCTAAGTCTGATGCTCATATGGTGTCACCAGGCCACTTAAGGAGGGGGCAAACCAGCCTAGCTAGGGAAAATGGAGCAGGTTAAAGTTTCCAAGCTGCACCTCCATCCTCGGAAAGATAAGGTGAATCGGTCTCAAACAAGCAAACAAATGAATAAATTAGTAGACAAACAAAAATGAATAGACAAATAAAGAGATAAATAAACAAAGAAATGCATAAATAAATGATCATCCAAATGTTAGCATTCCCTTGTAGTCTTTCCTGTAATTATTAATTATAAAGCATAAGGTTGTTTCTTTCCCAGTTTAATTGCATGAGAGCTAGCTTGTGATTACTGAGTCAGAAAAGCTCTGATTGGTTCTACACACAAGCAGAGAAGGTAAGGGGATGGGTGGGCGTGGGGGAGAGCAGGCAATACTTACCGTGCCAAAAACCAGAATGTCAAATCGGATCCCGACAGCTTTTATGAGAGTCCGTTTTTCTCTACCCTCTTCCATATAGTATTTGGCATATCTATAAGAGGGAATGAATCCGCAGTTAGAAGTCTCTGGGGATGCTGTCAAGGGAAGAAAAATAAATAAAAACAAAGAAGCAAATGTCCTTCCTTGTGCTGAGATAAGACTAGGACCTTGAATCTCAATGGATCTGGATGATGGGGTAGGATCACACCCAGGTTGGCAAAGAAACTGGACCTTATGGGCATAGTATAGAAAACTGGATCTGACTGAGAAATTTGGAGCTGGAAGAGATCTTAGAGCCTCCTTCATTTTGGAGATGAGGAAACTGAGGCATTAAGTGATCAAGTGCCTTGCCCAGGGTCACATAGCTAGGACATGTCTAAAGCAGGATTTGAACCTATACTTTAGCTGCCTTCTTCCTCCATCCTTATGGGACCCCTTCTTTCATTGGCGAGTTCCTCCCAGAATCTCCATTTTGAGGAAGCCATGTTTCTTTTTCCTGGCTGCTACACTGCGGCCCCCAATGCAGATACCTCCCCCATATCCCTTTTATGTGTGGTCTTCACCCATTAGAATATAAGGTCCTTAAGAGAAGAGTTGTCTCTTCCCCAGTACTCAGCACAGTGCCTGGCATATACTAAGTACTTAATAAATGCTTTTTGACTTGGCTTCCATCGCTCTATCCACTCTGCCACTCCATGCCGCTAAAATAAAGGAGAGGGGTCTGAAGAAAGGGTAAGTGGTGCTTGCATGCATTTGGGGCCAGTCTCTAAGGTCACATAAGTCCTTGTACTGATGAACAATGTTGGGTTGGGATTGACCCAACTCCCTTAGTAAGCCAGTCACCAAAGTGTTTAAAAAAACTGTGCCCAGTTCTTTCGTTCTAAAATGTCCAAGTCATTTTGCACTCTGGGAGGCCCTGCCTTCAAGAGGGAGTGAGAGGTAATGCCTGCTGGTCCATTTTCTAGTGTGGCTTTGTTCTTCAGGCCTAAGACTCCAATACGAACCCAAGAATTGCTCTCAGGGCTAAGTTAGGGTAGGATAGGGTAGGAAGCATCCCCATGTCCCCGTCTCTACTAATCCAAGATCAATACAGTTCATCAATTACACAGTGAGTAGCTGCTTTCTAATTTGGCATTAAAATGAACAAATCGCCAGCTCTAGGTCATTAAAACCTTTATGAGTACAACCAGAGAATAGCGACGTTTAAAATCAAACTCCAGCAGTCCTATTACTTCTTGGGATGTAATGGCATTGCCTTCTAGGCTATCATTAAAGGCTTAGAACACTAAGAGAGCTCGTCCTTGCATACCAATAATTGGAGGTGGCGTAGGTCCCAGCATATGGAGCAGGGACACAGGAACAGAAGAAGTCAGCAGTTCTCAAGCATTTACTAAATGCTTACTACGTATCAGGCCCTGCCAAATGTACAAATGACCCTCCTCTGCTGTCTTTGCTAAAACCTGAGAGTTCTAGTCTTTTGAAATGGATGATTAATAAAGCTTGAATTGTATGGCACAGAAGGTCAACCCTACTCCCTCCACCCCCAATCTTTGTCCCCTTTGTGCGTTTCTTCTTTTAGAACTGATGTAAGGGGCAGCTAGGTGGCACAGTGGATAGAGTACCAGCCCTGAAGTCAGGAGGACCTGAGTTCAAATGTGACCTCAGACCAAACACTTGATACTTACTAGCTGTGTGACCCTGGGTAAGTCACTTAACCCCAATTGCCTAATTAAAAAAAAAAAAAAGAACTGACATAGTAGGAAGAGTGCTTGATTTGGAGCCGGTAGGGATCTAGGTTTAAATCATACCTCTTGGCCTTACTAGTCGTTGTGGCCACGCGCAAGTCACAGCTGCTCTGAACCTCAGTTTTCTCATCTGTGTACTAGGATATAATAATAGCACCCAACTCATAGGGTTGTTGGTGATGATCAGAAGAGATTACAAGTAGAAAAGCTCACATTTGTTTATCACTTTGAGGTCTCCAAAGAGCTTTACCACTATTACCTCATTTGATTGGGAAGTAGGCACTATAGTTATCCACATTTTCTTTTTCTTTTTAATTTAATTTAATTTTTTGTGAGGCAATTGGGGTTAAGTGACTTGCCCAGGGTCACACAGCTAGCATCAAGTGACTGAGGCCGGATTTGAACTGAGGTCCTCCTGACTCCAGGGTTGGTGCTCTATCCACTGCACCACCTAGCTGCCCCCAGTTACCCCCATTTTACAGAGGAGGAAACTGAGGTACACAGAGGTAAAGTGACTTGCCCAGTGTTTTATATATAGTAAGTGTCTGATGCTGGATTTGAACTCAGGTCTTTCTGACTCCTAGTTCAGCCCTTTAGCCATTGAGCCGCTGTTACTTTTGTTCTTTTATTTCCTAGAACTTGAGCATAGCTATTTAATAAATGCTTGCTAAATTAAAGTAAGATTTAAATGTTATTGTTTTATTATAAATATTAGATGTTATTATATTAAACATGTGGGGAGAAGATGATTAAGAATACGCCCTCTGTTATTATAAAGCCTAAGTATTTTGATATATGCAAGGTCCCCCAAAAGTCTGAGGGCAGTTTGAAGCTATTGAAGGTCAAAACTTCCATTTTGAAGATAGAATGGAAAGAAATGAACTTAGCGTGCAGTCCAAAAAGGAGTCACTTGATAATTACAATGGGTACTACAAGAAAAATGTTCACATTTGAATAATCATTTAATTATTTGTTTATTTAAGTTATTAAAACTTAAAACTGTGCTAAGACTTTTGGGACACTGTGTGTGTGTTTATCATACTTATTCAATTCTTTCAGTTGTGTCCGACTCTTTGTGACCCCATTTGGGGTTTTCTTGGCAGAGATACTGGAGTGGTTTGCCATTTCCTTCTCCAGCTCATTTTGCAGATGAGGAAACTGAGGCGAACAAGGTTAAGTGACTTGTTTAGGGTCACACAGGTAGGAAGTATCTGAGGCTGGGTTTGAACTCTAGAAGATGAATCTTCCTGATTCCAAGGCCAGCACTCTGTCTACTGCCACTTCCTGCCTATCCTATATATGACTTGCTTTGTATATATTTGCTTGCATGTTGTTTCCCCCACTAGACTGTAAGCTCCTTGAGGGTAGGGACTGTCTTTTGCCTCTTTTGTATCCCCAGAGCTTAGCATAGTGCCTGGCACATAGTAGGCACTTACTAAATGTTCGTTGAATTGAATTGGATTCTTCTCTAAATGGAACTCCATTTACACCAAATAAAGACACCTTTCCATCAGGTGTCTACACCTGAACAGCCTTTAGGTAAATAAATATACCCCACACAAGTCAACAACTGAACAAGTAATTGTTGAGTGTCCACTACTGGGTGAGGCTTTTAAGTTTGGGGTAGTTCATGAGGACAGAGGGGAGGAAATAGAATTCTAGAGCTGATGAGTACCAGAGAGATTACTGGATTGGGAGCAATTAGTTAACATTGGTCCAACACCCATGAGGAGACCACAGAGGTCAAATGATTTCGCCAAGACCATACAGGAGGCAAGGGACTAAGCTAGTCTCAAACTCAGCTACTCAGACTACACATCTATCGTTCTTTCCATTATACTACATTGTCTCCTCGTAAGATGTGTCCATTTTACAGATGAAAAGAGTGAGGATGCCAAAAGAGGAAGGGTCTTTTTTAAGAGTTAGTAGCAGAAACAGGACTAGTAATCAAGAAATCAATCAACCAAATGGTATTCATGAAGCACCTACTATGTACCGGGCACTGAGTTAGGGACTGGAGACCCCAGACATAATCAGTCAATCAACAAGCATTTATTAGATGCCTACCATGAGCCAGACACTTTGCTAGGCATTGCGGATAAAATGCAATGAATGAAATGATTCTTTCTCTCAAGGAGCTTACGTTCTAACTAGGTCTCTTGGCTTCTAGTCTACCATTCTGATATGGGGCATGACCTCAAAACAACACAGGAAATAATGAATATTTGCAGGAGGAAATGATAAACCACTCTAGTATCTTTGCTAAGAAAACCCCAAATGGGATCATGAAGAATTGAGGACACAGCTGAAACAACTGAACAACTCTTTGAAAAAGTCCCATGCAGGACTTAGATCATCCCAATACCAAGCCCTAACCTACTTCAATGGGAAAAAAAAAAAAGTTTCCAGGAAAACTTACTCGGCTCTGAAATACTTGGAGTTTCATGATGGCAGAGCAAACCTTGAATGTTCCTTTGGTCTCCACCACTCCAACCTTCATGATACCTCTGAGGAAGTGGTCCTTCATTACTTTAGGAGGAGAAATAGCTTTCCTCTCTCTGTATCTCTGTCTCTTTCTCTTTCTTCTTTTCTCTCTGCCTTCCTGTCTTTGAAGCATGTGTGGCAGGTAGCTCTCTCTCTCTCTCTCTCTCTCTCTGTGTCTCTCTCTGTCTCTGTCACTTTATCTCTGTCTCTCTCTGTCTCTCTCCCTCTGTCTCTATCTCTATCTCTCTTTCAGACTTCCCATGAGGGATGGGGCATGGATACCTCCCTCATCCCAGCAGAAATGGCCACTGCTCACTCCTGGCTGCTAAAGTGAGGGCTCCCCTAAACAACCTTGAGCCAGGGCCTCTGGTTTCCTTTCCTCATTTTTCATTCTTTTCCTGAGCATGGATGACTTAACAGTGATCCTAAGATGGATCTTGCAAGTTTGAAAAGTCAAGTCCTGTGCTCCTCAGTCTATGCTGGTTGTGCTATAATAAGTGCTCCCTGGAGCTACCATAGTGCTTCTCAGAGAAAACGAACATGATACACTTTGTATATTGAGTATCTTTCTATTCCTTTTGGGGACTACCCTATATATGAGCCACATCTGAGTGTGGGAGTATAAAGAGCCAGAGAATGTTTTAAAAAAAGAACTAGATCTCTCCCTTTGGGTACCGGGCTCCCCTGGGACTGAACACAGCTTTTCCGCATGAGCCCAGAGCTGAGAGGGGTCTTTAATGGAAGAGTGAGAGAGTGAGCACCCCTTGGCCCAATACCTCTTCTAGACTCAGGCACACAGGCTTTGGGTCAGTGCTGACATGAAGTCCCACTTCTGCTGTTCAAAGGATTTGAACTAGACTTCTTCAGTGTATTTCTGGGCTCATTATCACTTCTTAAAGTCTCTCATCAAACCATCTGCTCTTACCGCCAGCCATCCACAGACAAGTGAGGCAGAGAAGATTGGTTCCAAGGGTGTGCTCAGAGCCAGCATTATTAAATTTTCAGAGTGAGTGTTTACACCTCAGACATTAGCAAATGCTGCAAATGATGGCTTGAAGTTACTGTTTTATCGATTAGCTAGACTTAAAAAAGTGATGAAGAAAATTTTAATATTATAAATTAAACTTAAAATGTGTTGAGCATGCTTTCTAAAAATATTTACCAGCACACTCCTGGTTGGTCTGGGGGAACAAAGTTCACAGATGCTGCTGGGCCCAGGGGAGCTGGAGTTAGGTGGCTTGCCCAAGGTTACACAGCTAGTAAATGTCTGAGGCTGGATTTGAACTCATGAAGAGGAGTCCTCCTCTGCAACTTATCGGACCCTTTCAGCTCTGGACCCATGATTGCAGATCAGGTGGGAAAAAGAGTCAAGCTCCTTTACCTCAAACTCTGCCTTTTATTACATGCTTAGTGTGGATCCAAGGAAAATGACTTAAAGAAAGCTTTGGTGCGACTTATGACCAAGGAAGGGCAGCTAGGTGGTGCAATGAATAGAGTGCTGGGCCTGGAGTCTAGAAGACCTGAGTTCAAATGCAGCCTCAATCACTTATTAGCTGTGGGACACTGAGCAAGTCACTTTACTTCTGTTGGCCTCAGTTTTCTCACCTGTAAAATGGGTATAATAACAGTACCCACTTTGCAGGATTGTGGAAAGGATCAAATTAGATAATATTGTAAAAGGTGCTTAGCACAGTGCCTGGCACATAGTAGGCACTCTATATTAAACAAATGTTTATTCCCTTCTCTTTTCCCAAAAGGGAGTTGGAAGGTGCTTAATATACAGGATAGATCAGGTGCAGGTAAGCAATTTATTTCCTTTACTACACAAGAAATACTTAAAAATGCAAAAGATTCTAAAATTTTCATTGACAAAAACTTAAATTAAGTTACTTGTAATATATTATAATATAATTATGTCCATAATTATATATTATAATATGTTCTAATTATATATCATAATTATATTGTTATTATAATATTATACTCTTCCAGGAGGCTGATATTTAAAACATTACAACCATAGTTAGTAGTTATATAGAATTTAAGGTTTTCAAAGGACTTTACATATATTAACTTATTTGATTCTCCTAACAACCCCATGAGATAAGTGCTATTATTGTGCCCATTTTACAGGTGAAGAAACTGAGGCTTGGAGAGGTTAAGCAACTTGTGCAGGGTCACACAGCTGGTAAGTATCTGAGGCTCTACTTGAAATGAGGTCTTCTAGACTCCAAATTCTGGACTCCATCAACAGAGCCATTACTGGTATTAAACGACATTATTGTTACATGCGATGCCACTAGATGGCAGAGCGGATAGAGTGCGGGTTAGGAAGACTCATCTTCTTGAGTTCAAATCTGGCCTCAGACTCTTCCTAGCTGTGTGACCCTGCCTCAGTTTCCTCATCAGTAAAATGAGCTGGAGAAGGAATTGGCAAACCATTCCAGTACCTTTGCCAAGAAAACATCAACTGGGGTCAGGAAGAGTCAGGCGGAACTCAAACAACTGACCAATAGCAATGCATTACAACACGAGAAAATGCATTACAACTCTTTCGAACACTGTAACGAGTGTTGTAATGTGTGTGAGAGATTGCTGGATCAATCAGCATTTTACCTGCTTCTTCACTGTTTCATCAACTCCCTCCTGGTTCATGCTTTTTGGCAAGCCAGAAGACTCCAAGAAAAAAGAAAGAGGGAGAAAGAAGGAGATAGGGACTCCTAGAGAGCAGAAATTCTTAAACTGGTGAAGAATCCCAACCACGCTCATGGTTGGGGGTAAGGGAGACCCAAAGGACCATCCAAGGTTGGCTGGGTTTTTCCAAAGTGCCTGGTCTTCAGAGCTGAGCACATTTTTCAGAAAGTGGCCAAGCCATCAGTTCAGCACTCCATAAGGAATGCCCCAGGTGGAAGAGAGCAGGGGGCCTGCTGGGCACCCCCATCGAACATGCTCCATGCCTCCTACACCAGCAGTTAGGTATTTTGCTAACATATTTCCATCCCTCCACCACCCCCTACTCTCAATGCATCAGGTTAGTTTGGAAAAAAGTTAGATAGATACAAGACCATGGAACTGAGGCAATTCCTGCCCTAGAGGGTAAATCTCTTCAATGTTACTTGAAGGGCTGAGCTGGCTCCTGGTTCGTGATGCACTGATTTTATGTACCTGAAGGATTCTGATAAAACTGAAGCCATCCAGCTACTCTCTGGATGCAAAGACTTCTTGCTTATCTTGTTGTCCAGGCGACGGAAACTGTATTTGGGGCTGCAGGAATGGAACCAGGCATCTAGGTCACAGTCCCAGTAGATCTCAATGCCCACAATTCCACCCTGGAAAAGGGAAACAGAAACTTACATGAAGGACTGCACCACAATGAAGGCAGATATTTTTTTTTTTCTTTTGGTGAGACAACTGGGGCTAAGTGACTTGCCCAGAGTCACATAGCTAGTGAATGTTATGTGTCTGAGGTTGGATTTGAACTCAGGTCTTCCTGACTTCAGTGCCACCTAGCTGCCCCTGCAGGTGAATCTTTTGCTTTAGCCAAACCGTCTTCACTTTCCCAGCATCACACCCAGCATGTTTCTACACCTTTGCTCAGGCTATTGTCTTCAACTAGGAGGCCTTCTTTCTAATCAATCAACAAACAGTTATTAAGCACCTACTATATTCCAGCTCTGGGTTAGGGTCTAGAGGTACTAACACAAAGAATGAAATGAGCCCTGCCCTCAAGGAGCTTACATTCCATTGGGAAAGTTAATAAGTAACATGCATACTGTAATACAGAATAAGTATATACCAAACAATTACAAAATCATTCCAAAGGGGATAGGGAGGGAGGGCACTAGCAGCTGGAGGGGAAGAGGAAAGTGTTGATGTAGAAGGTGGTTCTTGAGCTGTGTCCTGAAGGAAGAAGGAATCTATCAGTAATTAATAAGCATTTATTAAGCACCTACTATTAAGTAGGTCCTGTTCTAAGTGCTGGGAATAGAAATAAAAAGCAAAAATAGTCCTGCCTTCTAGGAGCTTTTATCTTAATGAGTTTACATAAATAGGTACATACTAACAAGTTAAATAACAGCCTAATGGCTAACATTTAGGTAGCACTTTAAGGTCTAGAAAGTGATATAGATAGATATAGATGGATATATGTATAGAGAGAAAGAAACAGACAGAGAAAGAGACAGACACATAGATGGAGAGTAAGAGAGAGAGAGAGAGAGAGAGAGAGAGAGAGAGAGAGAGAGAGAATCATTTGATCCAAAGTAGATGGAAAGTCATCTTGGAGGAGAAGGTAAGGAGGTAGAGATGAGGAATGAGTGTATCCCAGGCATGGGGGACAGCTAGTGCAAAGATATGGTGATGAGTGATGGAGTGTTGTATGTGAAAAACAGAGAAAAGACCAGTTTGTCTGGATCTTAAAATGAAAAAAAAAAATGATGTTTATTTAATGAGACTGAAAAGATAAAACTGGGCCTGATGGTGAAGGCCTTTAAAAACTAAATGGAGGAGTTTATATTTTATCCTAGCAGTCTGAATCCTATCTTTCCTGACTCATTTGAAATCCCTCTTCTTCCATGAAACATTCCTTGACAACCTTGACAAAAAAGTTCTTTTTCTTTCCTGTGGACTCCTCTAACACTTGTCAGCTCTGTTCATTTAGTATTGTCATATACTATATTATTATACTAATATTATTAGTTAAGTACACATGAATGAATGAATAAATAAAAATAATTTATTGAACACTATTTGTATATACAAAAGTGAAATGAACTCTGCCCTTGAGGAGCTTACATTCTAATGGGGAGACAACACATGAAGAGGTGTGGTGACCTGGAAGGAGTGTTATTACCTGGGAAGTCACAAAGATACTAAGTGGGACCATAAAGCCATCCGTTGATGTACATTTTCCTAGAGGCAATGTTAGGGGGTGGGGTGGGGGGTGTTGACTATAGTTTTGGAGCAAGAGATAGAAGGGGAGAGAGATAAAGGACAATGGGTATGAATGGGGGTAGTAAGGCAGACCGTGGGTGACCATTAATTCTTTCTCCCAGGGGATTATCTCAGTAGTCCTTGGAGGCTTGTGGTAAGGGCTACATAAGTATATACAGAATGAATATGTTGAATAAATTATAAATCTCTATATGGCAGTGACAACGGGCCCTAGCAGTGGAGAGGATTAGACTTCATATCAAAGGCAGTGTTTCAGTTACATCTGGAAGAAGTTAGGAATCCTTCAAAGTAGACGTGAGGAAGGAGTGTGTTCCATACTAGTGGGGTATGGGCAGTCCATGTTCTTAATTATAAGGGCAACTAGGCCTTTGCCAAAGGGCTTGTGGAATACCCATACTGCTTACATTTACCTAGAAGGATTAGCGGAGGTACCATCTGGACATGGTATCCCAGTAATCTGGTCCCTTTTGGATATTCCCAACTTATATGGTGGTTGCTACTGCCTATCTATTCCCCTCCAAACTCTGATGTCTGGGAAGATACTCTTCATAGCAAAATGGCCCTACTTACATGGACGGCCACAGATGAAAAACTTTCTCCTGTTTCCTGTAAGATATCTCCTAGCCGGAAAATTGGACACCCTGGATCTTTGGTCTTGTGAAAGTTACAGGAAATGTTGATTCCTGGCAGGATATTTCTTCTGCAAAAGCAAAAAACAAGTGACAAAGTCATCTTTATGGAAAAGTTGTACCCACTTTGTCTTTAGGATGGAGCCAGGAATTGGGTCCATTTATCTATTGTAGTTGGGGTCCAGGAAGTGAATGAATGAACGGAAAAGAATTCATATAAAACAGTAGCTGTAGCCTAGGAAATGAATGAATGAAAAACTACTTACGTGCTGTAATTGTGGCCTGGGAATTGAATGCTGTTCTTTATGAGGACGGTGAAGTTTTCAGTACTGGCCAGGAGTGCCGGCCTGAGAGAAGAAAGGACAGGATGTGTTATGGCGATCTTTGTCCAGCATCAGCTATGGAAAAACTATGACAACTTCCACCAAAATATATATGGGGCCCTACTATGTGCAGACACCCGAGCTAGTTCAAGGATGTGGAGGTAGGAATACATACATTAAATAAAACACAGTCCCTGACTCTTAAAGACCTCACACCTGAATAAGGAGGCAGATGGTTGTTGTTCCGTTTTGTCTGACTCTTTGTGACTCCATTTGGGGTTTTCTTGGCAGAGATACTGGAGTGGTTTGCCATTTGAACTCAGATCTTCCTGACTCAGAGCTGGTGCTCTATCCACCGTGCCACCTAGCTGCCCTGGGAGGCAGGACACATATAAAAAATATTCAGTCCGATTCCACAAATTTGTGCCAAAGTCAGGGAGCATCTGGTAGGCTAGCTTGACTGGAAAGTAGTGTAACTTTTGGGGCTGGAATCAAGAAGACTCATCTTCCTGAGTTCAAATCTGGCCTCAGATACTTACTAGCTGTGTGACGCTGAGCAAGTCATTTCACCCTGTCTGCTTCAGTTTCCTCATCTGTAAAATGAGCTGGAGAAGGAAATGGCAAACCATTTCTGTGTCTTTGCCAAGAAAACCCCGTACGTCTCTGATAAAAGTCTAATTTCTCAACTGTATAGAGAACTGAGTCAAGTCATTCCCCAATTGACAAACGGTCAAAGGATATGAACAGGGCATTTTTAGACAAATCAAAGAAAGCTATAGTCATATAAAAATGCTCTAAATCACTATTTATTAGAGAAATGCAAATTAAAACAACTCTGAGGTATCACTTCACACCTATCAGATTGGTGAATATGACAGAAAAGGAAGATGATAAATATTGGAAGGGATGTGGGAAAATTGGGATACTAATGCATTGTTGGTCAAGTTGTGAACTGATCCAACCATTTTGGAGAGCAATTTGGAACTATGCCTAAAGGACTATAAAACTGTGCAACTTCTTTGACTCAGCAATACCATTACTAGGTCTGTATCCTAAAGAAATTCCTTTTTAAAAGGGAAAAGAACATATTTTTACAAAAAAAAAACTTACAGCATCTTTTTGTGGTGGCCAAGAATTGGAAATTGAGGGCACGTCCATCAATTGGGGAATGACTGAATAAGATGTGGTATGTAATTATAATGGAATATTATTGCTATGAGAAGTGCTATGAGAAATGACAAGCAGGATGATTTCAGAAAAACCTGAAAAGACTTACATGAACTGATGCAGAGTGAAGTGAGCAGATCCAGGAGAACATTCTATACAGTAACAGCAATTTTGTACGATGATCAACTGTGAGTGATTTAGCTATTCTCAGCAATACAATGATCTAAGACAATCCCAAAGGACCTATGATAAAAAATGCCACCTGCCTCTAGAGGAAGAACTGATGGGGTCTGAATACAGACTGAAGCATACTATGTTTGTTTGTTTGTTTGTTTGTTTGTTGGCTAGGCAATGGGGTTAAGTGACTTGCCCAGGGTCACACAGCTAGTAAGTGTCAAGTGTTTGAGACCAGATTTGAACTCAGGTCCTCCTGACCCTAGGGCTGGTGCTCTATTCACTGTGCCACCTAGCTGCCCCCAAAGCAAACTATTTTTAACTTTCTTTTGTTCATTTCTTCTTTTGTTCAAGTTTTCTTTCATAAAATGACTAATATATAAATATGTTTTACATGATTGCACATGTATAACCTGTATCAGATTGCTTACTGTCTCAAGAAAAGGGAAGGTGAGAGAGAGGAGGAAAGAATTTGGAACTCAGAACTTTAAAAAAACAAATGTTAAAAATTGTTTTTACACGTAATTAGGGAGAAAGTAAAATATTATTTTTAAAAATTAAATTAATTTTAAAAAAGAAAACCCCAGATGGGGTTATGAAGAGTAGAATATGACTAAAAATGATTGAACAACAATAATAGGCAAGTATTCTTCTCTTCCTGAGCCAATCAATCAATTAATAAACATTTATCAATGGCCTACTAATGCCAAGCAATCTGTTGTGCTAAGTACTAGTGATACAAAAAGAGGCAAAAGATAGTCCCTGCACCCAAGGAGCTTACAATCAAAAAGCTGGTTGCACTTCACGAGGGGATCAGGGCATAGACCCATTTTACAGCTCTGTTAATACTTTATTATCATCTTATGATTAGAGTCTGGGATTCCTTTGACTACATCAACTAAGGAGTATGTATTAGGGATGGGAGAGGGTAGGGAACCACATATTTCCTCTCACACAAAATATACATATAAAATAAGTAGAAAGTTATTTAGGGAGGTGAGGGAGGTACTAAGAGCTTCCTGTGTATTTGCCTAGCTGAGTGTCCCAGACCTATTGCTTTAGCTTGACCAGGTTCTGCAAAAATCCAAGAGATCTCTAAGTTCTATTGTTATTGTTCAAAGAGAGATTCAATTCATTAATGCATGTGGCTAATGTGGAAATATATTTTATATGACTTAACATGTATAATGGGTATCCTATTTCTTGCCTCTTTAATGGGTAGGGCAGGTGATAGATGAAGGGAGAGAATTTGGAACTGAAAATAAAAGTTAAAAATTAACAAAAAAAAAGCATAAAAAATTCATTCATACAGGTGGGGAACCTGCAGCCTCAAGGCCACATGTGTCCCTTTTCAGTCAAAGGGACACACTTGAGGACCTGGAGAGCCTCATGTGGCCTTGAGGCTATACTAAGACAGGAATGAGTCCATTCAGCTTCTTACTTACTGAGGAGTCTCTTTTACTGGCTGTATCGGACACCAGGCAAAGACTTCACAGGTCTTTTGGTCCTTGCAGATATCTGGGAGGTCACCGGTCCTTGGGTGGTCACTGGTCAAGTTATATTTTATACACTTTCCTGTATGAACCCCTATAGGAATGATATCATTGCAAAAGTCATTGCTGGAAGGAGTAGAGTGGCATGGTGGTAAGGGAGCTTGACTTGAAATCAGGAGAGATCGGGGTTCAAATCCTAGCTCTGATGCTTATTAGGTTTGTAAATCTAACCTCTCTGAGCCTTGATGTCTTCATCATTAAAATGTGACTGCTGAGACCTATAGCACCCAACTTACAGGACCATTGTCAGGCTCAATGGAGATATTGTATCAATCGACAAACACTTATTAAGTACTTACTGTGTACTAAGCTTTGGTCAGAGTCAGTCAACCAGCCTTTATTGAGCACTTGCTATGTGCCGGTCACTCTGTTAAGTGTAGGAATCTCTCTTCCCTTTGGATTTTGTGCTCCATACCCTCCATTATGGTTGCTTTTGGCAAGGGTTCAACTGCCTGATTTATGTCTCTCTTGATGTTAATAGTCAAAGAGCCATTTGAAAAATTTAATATGACAATCAAGTTGTTATATATTTTAAGGAATTTTTTTATTTCAATTCCATTCAACAGGCATTTATTAAGTACCTAACTCTGTACCAGACTCTGGGCAAGGATCTGGTGATACAAAAGCAAAAAGAAAACAGTTTCTGCCCTCCTGGAGCTTACATTCTATTGGAAAAATAGAACATTCCTTCAGTCACATGTTGAGCTGCTGCTAGGTGTCATACACTGGTCTAGGTGCTGAGCATACAAAGATAAAGAGGAAACTGTTTCTGCCCTCAAGGACCTTCCATTCTTTTTTAGACATTGTGTTCCACTGGCATAGCCTTTGAGAACCCAGGGTCTCCTACATATGGCATTGGAGTAGGATTTGAGTTTATGGGGAGCTGGGTGGTGCATTGGATAGAGCTCTGGGCCTGGAGTCAGGAAGACCTGAATTCAAATCCAGCCTCAGACACTTACTAACTGTGTCACCCTGGGCAAGTCACTTCACCCTGTTTGCCTCAGTTTCCTCTTCTGTAACATGAGCTGGAGAAGGAAATGGCAAACCGCTCCAGTATCTTTGCCAAGACCCCAAATGGGATCACGAAGAGTTGGACACAACTGAAACAGTTGAACAATAAGGAGATGACTGAGAATTCTGGGCCCTGACAGAGGCTTAAGTGGGAGTCACTGATATGTCTCAAATGAGAGTTCCTTTACCATACTAGACTCAGGCTCTTAGGAGCAAGAAATAACATGTACCTTTGCTCAGTGCGTCAGTCCTCCCCTTTTTGCAATCTTGATCAGAAGAACAGCAAGTTCTGTTGGTGGGATACTGTGAGGGGAAAACGACAAGACAAGAGGACATGAGTGAAAGCCTCATCCTACAGTAGAGAGAAAAGCATGGGATTTAGAGTCAGATGTACTGGATTCAAGTCCCAAGTTTTTAAGTCCCACTAGCTCTGTGACAAGCTTCAGCTCTTCATTACGTAGAAAATGGGGATACCAATATTTGTCCCATCAACCTTCAAGCCTTCAACCCATCAACCTTCACACATGTCGTGTGAAAAAGTATTTCAAAAACTTTAAAGGGCAGAGTTACTTTTTAAAGATATGCCTCTTATGGCTACGCCATCTTCTCACACTCCTCCCTCGTGCCATGGAGGAATCACTTAGACTATTGTATTTAGGCTGTCTTCAGTTAACCTTCACTCTATAGCCCAGCCATACCTTGCTGTCCTGGATGTACCCTGCCCCAGGACCAATTTCCAATTCTAGACCCATGAACAAATCAATTCCACCATTGCCACTAGAATGGGCATGCCTGTCTACTCTTCTGTTGCTCCACTCACAATCACTGTAGCTTCCAAGACTAACACACCCCTCCCAGGCCACTACTGCCCTATATGTGTCATCTCTCTGTATTAGAAGGTAAGCATTAGCATCCCTAGTGCTTAGCACAGTGCCCAGGCCATAAGAAGTGTTTTTCCATTCATTCACTCAACCATTCATTCAATTTTAAAAGGTGTGGAGATGGCTTCATTCAGTGATAACTGGAGAGAGCCTGACAGATGATGAACAGGTGGACGAGTTTATAGAATATACGGTGAGGTAAAACTAGCAAATGATACAATCAAAAGGATTTAGGACTGGTTGGAGGTTGAAGAGTAATTCTTAATGACTCAGTGTCAATTTCCAAGGAGGTCTCCAGTGGAGTGCCCCAAGGATCCATGCTTAGCTCCATCTTACTTTGCATTTTTATCAATCATTTGTTGTTTTGTCTATTTTCTTGCCAAAGAAACTGGAGTAATTTGTCATTCCCTTTTGCAGATCATTTTACAGATGAGGAAACTGAGGCAACCAAGGTCACACAGCTAGTAAATGTCTGAGGCTGGATTTGAACTCAGGTCTTCCTGACTTGGAGCTGGCGCTCTACCCATTGTGCAACCTAGTTTCCCAATAAGATATTTAGATAAAGGAATCGATGGAACGATATAAAAAATCTGTGGTTAACATCACTCTAGGAGGGAGGGCTAATACAATGCATAATAGAGTCAGGATCTACAAAAATGGGCTAGACCATTGAGCTAAATTTGTGGGATGTAACTAGATGCTCTCAAAGGCAAATCTATCTCCCTGAATACCTACATTAACAAAAAGGGAAAAGAATGTTGAGTTGTATTTGCAAACAAAAGAAATCAGAGGTCAGCAAATTAGTACACTAATACCACCTACAAGGAATTACTCAAATTAAGGAGAAATTAGCACAATTCCAACAAAATTAATGACTGAATTAATAAATAAATGAGCTGTTTGTGAAAATCCTAATTAAGACTGATAAGAGCCACAAACAAATCGAATTAAAAAAAAGAGAGGGAAACCAAATGACCAAAATCTAAATTGAGAACAGGGATAACATAATTAATGGAGAAGAAATGAAGAAAATCACCAGAATTTAGCAATATAGTTAAAAATGTTCTTTATAATAATTTGACTTGTGCATGTAAAAGGTTGCTAGGTGGTGCTGGGCCTGGAGTCGGAAAGCGCCGAGTTTAAATCCTCAGACACTTACTAGCTGTGTTTCCCTGGGTGAGTCTCGTAACTTCTGTTTGCCTCAGTTTCCTCATCTGTAAAATGGACAAGATAATAATAGCACTCATTTCTCAAGGTTGTTGAGAGGATAGAAATGAAATAATATTTGTAAAGCCCTTTGCAAATCTTAAAGCACTATTTAAATGTTAGTTATTGTTATTATTACTGTGGAGAGAAAACCAACCTCAAAGTCAGAGTCTAAAATAAAAATCTTCTTCTGACACATGCTGGCTGTGTGACCCTGGGAAAGTCACTTCACTTTTCAAGGCTGTGGGCAACTCTAAGATTACAAGTGGCAGAAAAAGAGTCACCCTTCATTGGGAGATGGGGTTTCCATACCCAGGAGTTCCCCGTGCTAATGAAATCATGGGTCTGGCTGTTGTCCCTTGTTGTTCATTCATTTCAGTTCATTCATTCATTTCATGACCCCATTTAAGGTTTTCTTGACAAAGATACTGGAACAGTTTGCCATTTTCTTCTGCAGCTCATCTTACAGATGAGGAAACTGAGGAAATCAGGGTTATGTGACTTGTCCAGGGTCTCACAGCTAGTAAATGCCTGAGGTCGGATTTAAACTCAGTTCTTCCTGAGCTTGGACCTGGTGCTCTATCTGCTGTGCCACCTAGACCTAAGTTCAAATCTGCCCTCAGAGACTTCCTGGCTGTGTGACCCTGGACAAGTCACACATCTTACACATCTGTAAAAGGGAGATAATGATAGCCTCACACTTCCAGGCTCATTGTCAGGTGAGATAATATTTGCATTTAAGATTCTGAGATTCTATCCTATGGCCCTGCCAAGAGTTCTGTTTTTGATAAATCAAATTGATTACGTTCTCTTAAAATCCAAAAAAACCCTGTTCTCCACCAACTTGTACAGAGGGCACTTTGAGGCCATGCAGTGAATCATAAATGTCAATGATTGCTCTGGTCATCCTCTCCTCTAGAGAGGACAGAAAGTAGGTCTGAACCCCCTGCTCCTTGCCAGGCTCAGAGCATGAGCTGGGCTCACCTCTTGGGAAGAGCGGCATTGCTGGTGCCTAGAACAGAGACTCAGTTTACCTCTGGGTTATAGGAACCCTCAGGGGCCCCCCATTGGCATTCCAGAGTATCTGCAGTAAGGCACCTCAGAGAGAAAGTAGGTCTCAGAGCCAAAAAGACCTGGGTTTGAGTCCCAACTCTAATATAGAACTGGTTGTGTGACCTTAGGTTAAGTCACTCATACTCTCAATGCTATAGGTTACTCTCTGAGACTAAAAGTTTCTGGGATAGTTTCAACCTGCCTTGCTGAAAGGGATTTAGTCATCAGAGAATTCGCTACCTGGGAAATCACAAGCTAGCCCTTATTCTGATCCAATAAATACTTACTAAGCACCTATTATGTGCCAGGCACTGTGCTAAATGTTGGAAGGTACAATTAATAAAAAGAAAAACAGTTCTTGCATTTCTTGAGTATCTGGAGTGCCTCGTAGCCATTTCCTGAGTATTCTCTCACTTCCTCCCCCAAAAAGATTTCCGAACATACACACCCACACACCCACCCTCTTCAGAGACCATGAAAGATGGTGTCTCTTTTGGTTCCAGACTGCACCCTCCCTGCCTCTAACAGACCTGCCTATGCAGGTGTTATCATCAGGTCTCCCACCCCCACTCACAATCTCTCTTACCTCGGGACAAATCCCCTGCATCTGGCCTTCTGTGATTTGAAAGTTAGTCATCACAAAGAATGAATTTCCCTGAGGAGAGAAAGAACATAGAAATTTCAAATAAGTGGAATTTGCCAAAGTTCTAGATTTTTGTTGCTATTAATAATAATGATGGAAATGTTATTATCATCATTGAATAAAAAGACATTTATTAAGCACCTACTATGTGCCAGATACCACGCTAAAGTGATAGGGATACAGATAGTACATCTTATGCAGGAAGACAACACATAAGTGGGACAGGTAGCGAGGGAAGAGGTATTTTGGTGAGAGAAATCTCAGGAATGGTTAGCGGAATCATAGAGCAATTGATGATAATGTGTTGGGCCAGAGTGTTCATGAGGCAAGCTATTAGTCTCTTTAAGCAAAAATCTGGGGAAAAATGTGGTTACAGACTGCCTGGTGTAGAGAGAAGCAAAGCTGTGTACAGTAGAACAGTTTCCAAAGTAGGAGCCACTGGGAGGCTGTGGTATGACCCCACAACCCATAAGAAGGTTAGGAAATGGGTGGCATCCCACCCTGCCCAGATAACCAATCATGGGATTCCCTAACCCTAAATTCTAACCCTAACTCTAATCCTAGTTAAGATCAGGGAATGGTCACAGTACTCCCTGTGGTAGTCTCTTAAGAGTAGATAAATTTAAGGGTGGCTCAGTGGATAGAGCACCAGCCCTGAAGTCAGGAGGACCTGAGTTCAAATCTGGCTTCAGACCAAACACCTAACACTTATTAACTGTGTGACCCTGGGCAAGTCACTTAACCCCAATTGTCTAAAAAGGAAAAAAAAAAGAGTAGATAAATTTGGAAGAGACTTTAGACTTTTACCCAAACCAACACTCTCATTTTAAGGATTATGAAACTTAGGCAGACAGAGACTAAGTGACATGCCCAGGGTCACTTGTTAAGTTTCTGAGACAGGATTCACACTAAGCTCTTCCTGAGTCCAGGCCCAAAGCTCTGTCCACTATGTCAAGTTATCTCTACACTGCTAAATTGTAAACCCCCTTATGGCAGGGACACAGTTTCACTTAACCCTTTCTTAGCCTCATTGCCTAGAACAGTGCACTGATATGCAGTAGCCATGTGACAAATGTTGGTAGAAGGAATGAATGAGGCCACACAGCATTTTCCAAAGGCCAGGTTCTTTTCTTTTCAAGTTAAATGTATTTTCCTTTCCACAATGGATATCTTTCTGAAAAGTATATAAATCAAACTTCAGTAAATTAAGTCATTTTAAATTAACTCTATCTTAAAGGAAGTGGTAAGAAGTAGAGTCAGGCGAAGAAACCTTTTGTAAGGAAATCCATTGTTCCCTAATCCATCTTCTGGGGCTGAGTGAGCATGGTAGATCTTGTCAGGATCCCCAGGCCAAGACCATCCCTCTCTTTTTACTCTTAGGAGACACCCTGTTTTCCAGAGCTAAGGCCCGGTGAGCAAACTGTGCCCTGAACTTGGCATAACAACAATCCTTTGCACTCACCCTCTGGATGATCTCACTCACAGCAAAATCCTAAAATTGTTTCACACCAGCACAGGTGGTCTCTGAGCTCAGACAAGCATCTGTAGTACCCATGTTCTGGGCTCAAAGTTTCGCCAAGAATCAAACTTGTCTCCCTGTTGCTGTTACCTCTCATTGTCACAGCTCACTGTGTAGAATATGTATTGAGATTTGCCTGCACTAAAAGGGATCACCTAGTAGAGGGGGCCCTGGGGCAGCTAGGCAGGGCAGCGGATAAAGCTCTGGCCTTGGAGTCGGGAGGACCTGAATTCAAATCTGGCCTCAGACACTTGACACTTATTGGTTGTATGACACTGGGCAAGTCACTTAATCCCAATTGTCTCACCAAAAAAAAAAATAATAATAATAATAATAATAATGATAATACTAATAGTAGAGAGGGCCTTGATACATGTATGTCTAGTTTTTCTCCTCCAACAGAATAAGGAAAGCTTTTTGCTTGTGACCGTTATTATCTGTTTGGTTTTATTTTATTTTATTTTTAGAGTTAACTGTGGTTGTGATAACCTGTGTGAGTTTGCTGGGTGTTTTAGAGTTAACAGACATTGCAAAGCTCCTGTGATTCTTTGGTCATTTGTTATCAGGGCAGATGATCTTATGTCTACTCTTTCCTGTTCAATGAGTTGGGTTTTTCAGATAGACAGCTTGCATGACAGGGGGCCCACCTATATTAAATTCTTTGGTTAGAGTCTCCTTGTTCTGGCTCCTAAGGGGAAATGGGTGAACTTTTGATACTATCAAAAAGTCTTTAAACTACATAGACTTTCACCCAGTGATAACTGTTCCTAGGCCTATACCCCAAAGAGATCAAAGAAAGAGGAAAAGCATCCATATAAACAAAAATATTGATAGCAGCTTTTTTGTGGAGGCAGAGAACTGGAGACTGAGGGGGTGCCCAGCAAGTGAGGAATGGCTGTACATGAATGGGACAGAACATTATTGTGCTGTAAGAAATGACAAAAGTAGCAGTTTCAGGGAAACCTGGTGAAGAGCTATATGAACTGATACAGGAGGAAGTGAACAGAATGAGAACAGTTTATAACAATAAGCAACAATGTTACAAGGACCAACAAGTTTGAAAGGTTTACGAACTCTGATCAGCACAATGACCATACGGAATTTTGGAGGACCAATGATGAGGAATGCTGACCACCTCATGACAGAGATGTGATAGGCTCATGGTACAGAATGAAATATAAATTTTTAAAGATGGCTGTTTTGAATGATTATGCATCTTGGATATAAAGGTTTTGGTTTTCTTTTTTTTAATGGGGAGGGGAGAAAAGTAAGAAGAAGAGAAAATAAATGCTTGCTAATTGAAACAAATTTAATTATTAAAAAAAATCTCAATGATAAGAAAGTTAATACCCAAGTGGTCAGATTCTTGCGCATGGAAATTCAGGGATTCTCACCTGCAAGTGTAAGATACAATCGACTTTGTCAAACACTCTGGTCTGATTCCCTATGGTCACCTTTGTTATTCCTTTTACTTTGGCTTGCACGGAGCTGATAAGGGGTTCCTTGCGCTGGTACAGTTTCTCACTCCACAAACCAAAGCTGAATGTGGTAAGAAGAAAAGACAAATAAGGCATTTTGACGTGGTCTCTAAGTCCTTTGACTGTGAACCTACCCCATCTTAGCCTTAAAATTTGTGGAAAAGAAAGGAATGGAAAAGAAATTCTTAGACTAAAGAAGTATCTAAGCTAATTTGCCCTCATTCAACAAATATTTGCCCAGAATGCACTCCCTTCTCATTATTCCTACCTCCTGGAATCCAAGCCTTTTTCAGTGTTCAGTTCAGCTGTGATCTCTGTCCTATGTATCTTTCCTGACACTTCCACTTCTTTGTATTTACTTACTTTGCATTTATTTTGTACACCATTTTGTAAATACTTACTTTATATATTACTTTGATTATAACTTTGCATTTACTTACTTTGTATTTACTTATCTTTGTATTGTATGTGTTATATCTCCCAATAGAATGTAAGATCCTTGAAGGTAAGGACGGCTTTACTATATATCACTGTCTTTCATACGCTCTAAACTAGCCTTCTTGCTGTCCTTCACACAGGATACTCAATCTCCTACCACTAGGCCTTTGCACTGTCCCTCCCCTATGCTTGGGATGCATTCCCACCTCATATCCACCTCTCAGAATTATTAATTTCCTCCAGATCTCAGGTCACCTTCTACATGAGGTCTTTCCTGGTCTTCCCTAGCTGTTAGTGCCTTCTCCCCTCATTACCTCAAATAAATTTCACATAGCCACTAATAATAACTAGCTTTTATATAGAGATTTAAGGTTTACAAAGCATTTTACACATATTATCTTACTTGATCCTCACAACAATCCTGGGAGGTAAATATTATTAGTAATCCCCAATTTATAGATGAATAAACTGAGGCTGAAAGATATTAAGTGATTTACCCAGGGTCACATAGCTAGTAAGTATCTGAGGCTAAATTGGATTTCAGGTCTTCCTGACTCCAACTTCAGCATTCCCTCCACTATACCAGCAAACTTCCTCTGGGGGCAGCTAGATGCTGTAGTGGATAGAGCTCTGGCCATAGAGTCAAGAGGACCTAAGTTCAGATCTGGCCTCAGACACTTGTCACTGACTAGCTGTGTGACCTTGGACAAGTCACTTAACCCTGATTGCCTCACCAAAAAAAAAAAAAGGCAAAAACAAACTGCCTCTGGTCACTGTACTACTTGCTACCTTAGTAAATATGCCAACGGGATATCATTTTATATTTTATCACATATCTATCCACAATATGTTCATAACATTATATCTATATATTAGTATCCTATTATAGTAATATATTATATTAACACAATATTATAAATATGCATTATATAAAATATATTTTATATTTGTTATATATTTTATTATATTATTTTATAGCCAAGAAAATGGAGTCAGATAAGTTAGATGTTGCTGACTTACATTTCATTTATTCAATTATTCAATCATTATTTATTATATATTATTTATAATTATATATAATATTATACTTTGTGCCAAGTACTACATGTAGAGGAAAAGAGATACGAAGTCAACCAGCAAGAATTTATCAGGTACCCACAGTGTGCCAGACACTAGTGCGATCCCCATAGCAGACTGTTCCATTATGTCAACTTCCAATGGAGCTCTAAGGAGCGGGATAGCATTGTGGGATGGAGTAGTTAAGGATATTTGTTAAGCAGATGAAATGTGAGCTGGGCTTTGGGTGATGGGTAGAATTTGGATAAGAGAAGGGGAAGGCATTAAAGGAAGGGGAAACTGGGTGAAAAAAAGGCAAGAGTGTTAGTGAAGGGAGATAAGAAGGTGAGGATAGGAGGGGCTGGAGCAGAGGAAAATAAGGTTGAAGAGGCAGGTCGGGGAATTACAAAGAAAATGAAGTTCTCCTATGGTCTCAGACTTACCAAATGTAGATGATGATGAGCACACAAATGACCCACTTCAGAATCCCGTACCAGACATTGTAAATTTCAACAGCTTTCTCAGTGTGAATACTGAGCAGACTCTTAGAACAGAACCAGTCCCTTTGGCATTTCATTGCCGTCAGGATAGGAGGTTCCCGGAGTACCTGCATGGCAGCAATGGTGATGGTCAATGGTGCTTGGCAGCACTATCTCCTTCTGTGCTGTCTGGGCTTACTGAACAGGGGAAGTGTGAACAAGTAAGAAGTACTTCTCTCTTAATTTTGATGATTTTGAAGAGAGCTTTCAGTTTTGCTTAAATAGGAACACAACACCTGCCAAGGCTAGAGATTTATCTAGAGATAAGCCTTCTCTGATAGTATGACCTCACTGAGGCACACTTTGTGCCCTAAGGGAAATCATTTGTTCTGGACCTAATCCCGGGCTACATTAAGCTTCCAGATGTAGCTGTATGATTATGAATAAATGAATGGATAGATGGCTGGAAAAGCATTCATTAAGTACTTAATTCGTGCTGAACACTGTGCTAAATGCTGGAGCTATAAATACAAGCAATCAAGGTAGTCCCTGCTCTCATAGAGCTTCCATTCTAAGGGGGCAAGACAACAGTTAAAAGGGAGCTGGAAAGACCTTTGGTCACAATCATGGTAGTATGGTTTGGAAATCTCCAGGAAATGACGTGCTGATGGACTAGTTCTGAGCAAGTTAAGGTAGAAGCTCACCTATCAGAACCCAAGTCCCCAGTGAAACATGTGAATCCCAGAAGGAAGAGGATTTGGAGGATGCCCAGAGTGTATGGAAGGAAGGAAACAAACATTTATTAAGCACCTACTATGTACCAGGCGCTGTGCGGAGTGCTTTTTACAGATATGATCTCTGGGGTCAGCTAGGTGGCACAGTGGATAGCGCACCGGCCCTGAAGTCAGGAGGACCTGAGCTCAAATCTGGCCTTAGATACATAACACTAAGTGTGTGACCCTGGGCAAGTCACTTAACCCTCATTGCCCAACAAAAACAAAACAAAACCAAAAAACAAATATGATCTCATTTGGAGATTTCTTCGCAAAGACACTGGAGTGGTTTGCCATTTCCTTCTCTGGCTCATTTGACAGATAAGGAAACTAAGGCAAACAGGGTTAAGGTACTTGCCCAGAGTCACACAGCTAGTAAATGTCTGAGGTCAGATTTGAACTCAGGAAGATGAGTCTTCCTGACTCCAGGCCTGATGCTCTATTCATTACATCACCTAGTTGCCCCATTCCTATTTTACAGTTGAGGAAACTGAGGCAAACAGAAGTTTAATAACTTGCCCAGGCTCACACAGCCATCTGACACCAAATTTGAACTCAGGTCTTCCTGACTCCAGGTCTGCTGCTCTATCCCCTGTGCCAACGGCTGCCTTATTAAGGCACCTGCAGCTCCCCATTGTCTATTGAACTAAGTGGAAAGATCTCACTGAGTGGGGTGGTGCAAGTCTGTAATAATAATAATGATGATAATGATGATGACAGCTAGCATTTATTAAGCACCTACTATGTGCCAGGAATCATGCTAAGCACTTTACAAATATTATCTCACTCAATCCTCACAATAACCCCAAAACGTAGGTACTATTATTATCCCCATTTTGCAGTTCAGGAAAAAAGAGGCAAACAGAGGTTAAATGATTTGCCCAAGATCATAAAGTCCCTGGAGGTTGAAAGATTTCAACCTGTCCTTCAAAATAATCTATAGCATTAAAGCAGCCTAGGTAGATGAATATTCTTAGATTTCAGCGAAGCATTTGGTAGAATCTTTTATGCCACCCTTGTGGATAAGAGGGAAAGATGTGCTCTAGAGGATAGCACAATGTGGTGGAGTCAGACATGGTCCAAAGACTAAACCTAATAAAGAATAATCATGGATTGGATGAAGGTCAACCTGGAGGAAGGTCTCTAGTAAAGTGCCTCAGGGATCAGTCCCTGGCCCTGTGATCTTTAGCATCATTATCAATGCTATTAGTGTTGGATGAAGGCACAGAATGGATATTTGGCAAATTTTCAGGTGGATTAGGTTGGGAGGGATAGCTAGTGGGTTAGATCATGGGTAGGCAAAGTACCATCCCAGGGCCAATTGGATTTGATGCAGAGGCTGGAGTTTGCTGACTCGTATGTTAGATGATCACTTTAGGATTCCGAGAGTTTCTGGCAAGGTAGAACGATGGACCAACTTTGATAATGTGACATTTAATAGAAATCAATGTAAAGTTGGACACCTGAGTTCCAAAAAATCAACTTTACAAGAATAGGATGGGCAAGGCCTGGATAGGCAACAGCAGCTCTAGAAAAGATTTATAGCTTTTAGTGGGCTGTGGAGTCAACAGTGTGACATGATGGCCCCATAGTGTAAATGCTGCACAAGAAGGAGGTGATCATCCATCCCCCCTGGACTCTGTGCCCTGGTCAGACCACAAAACACAGACGGGGGCGGGGGGGGAGAAAGAGAGGGAAGGAAGGAAGAAGGAGAGAAAGAAAAAGAGCAAGAGAGACAGATACAGAGAATGAAGAGAGAGAAAGACACAGGGTAATGTGTGAGAGAGATGGATGGGGTGGATAGATAGATTATATATAGAAAGAGAAAAAAGAGGGAGACAAATGGATGGATAGATGTGTGAGAGAAACGGATAGCCAAAGAGAAAAAGAGAGGAGAGAAAGAAGGAGAAAGAATAGGGAGAGAGAGAGAGAGAAGGATAGATAGATGATAGATAGATAGAGTATTTATTAAGAACTTACTATGTACCAGCTACTGTGCTAAGCACCGGGGATAAAAATATAAGAAAGTCAGTCCCTGCCCTCAAGGAGCTTACATTCTCGTGGGGAAGACAGCACAAACAGGGAACTAGAAAGAGGGGAGAGTTGAGGGAAATAGTCAGGGGTGTACTGGAGCCAGCTGGAGAGACCTGGCTGTTAAATATTTAAATGTGGTCATTTACAGCTCTTAAATCAGCAAATGCTACAAATCAGTGCTCGATTTATTGTTTTGTTGATTGTGATGGAGAAAGTGTGATAAGAAAAGAAAGTGATGGAGAAAACGTGAACAAACAAGTGTGATCAGCGTACATTTTTTTCTTGGAAAGCTGGTTGTTAAATATTCACCAGCACACCCCTGGAGGAAGGGGACCTGTGTAAAGGCAATGTAGCAGGAAAAGAGGAGGATTCTGGAGAGCATCCAGACATGAATGAGGAGAAGCAGGGCAGAGGTATTTCCTAAGATGGCGGTCCCAGAGAAGAAGTCACCAAAGAAGAAGGTGGAGGTTTCTCAGGCTGGAGTTCTGTCCGGTTCTGGTAATGTTGTAGGAAGGAGACCTCGGAGCATATCCATAAGAGAGGGATGGAATTCATGCAATGGGAGGATTTGTTGAAAGCACTGGGCAGGTTTATCCGGAGAAGTCTTAAAGGGATATATATAATCATTTCCTTCAAGTAACTGGACCGTGTTGTGGAAAAGGGATTATTAGCCTTATCCTGCTTGGCCCCAGGAGGCCCAACCAGGGGCAATGGATCAAAGTTGAGGAGAGAAAGTAAGGAAAATGCTTCCTAACAATGGAATGGGCTACCTCAAGATGCCACAAGATCCCTCTACTGAAGGCCCTCAAATGGCCACCTTTCTAAGATGCAGTGGAGGGATTCTTGGTCAGGGACAGGGTACCCTAGACAGCCTCTACCAAAAGCACCTCCCAACTCTGAGATCCCATAATGTCTTGCCTCTTACACCTCATCACTGTATGACCAAGGACAAGTCACTTCACTCTTACAGGCCTGAGTTTCCTCTTCTAAGACAAATATCCCAGCTCCCACTCCCATGGAAAAGTCCTTAAAGCATAACTTACTGAGACCCATCAGGACTAACCCCTCCCCTCTAGCAGATGTGATGTGGATCCAGCAAATGATAGAGTTGGTCTCTGACATCCTTTCCAACCCTCCACATGTCCACCTCTCCCCTTCTGTGACTTCCCTCTAACTCACCCCACACATCTAATCAGTTGTTAAATCATAGAGTCTTTCTTCACAACAGCTCTCAGAGGTTTTATTACATTCACATAGCCACTCCCTTAGCCTGAGACCTCATCACCTCACATTTAGACTACTGTGACAGATTTCTAATTGGCATCCCTGCCTCAAGGCTCCCTTACCTCTCCAATCTAAGCAACTGGGAGTGCTTTAGGAAATAAAGCACAGATGTGACCTTGTCACACTCCCTGACTCAGTAAACTCTAGTGTATCCCTCTTGCTTCTGGAATCAAAAATAAACTCCTCTGTTTGGCATTTAAAGCCCTTCATAGCCTGGATCTTTCCTGTCTTCTTATATATTACCTTCCTCCATTCCCTTGGTAATCTAGATACACTGGACCAGTCACAGTCCAACACTTAATACAGTTCCTGGCACACAGTAGGCACTTAATAAATGTTTATTGATTGATTGAGTTTCTCAAACGCGTCATTCCTTCTCCTCACTCCAAGTCTGCCCTGGCTATGCTTCATGCCTGTTATGCCCTCTCTCTTCACCTCTGCCTCTTAGCTTCCCTGGCTTCTTAGTGATTTAGAAAACAGGGAACCAGGGGTAGCTAGGTGGCACAGTGGATAGAGCACCAGTCTTGGAGTCAGGAAGACCTGATTTCAAATGTGGCTTTAGACGCAACACATACTAGCTGTGGTATCCTGGGCAAGTCATTTAACCTCAACTGCCTTACCAAAAAAAAAAAAAAAAAAAAGCAAAACCTCTAAAAAAAACAGGAAACCAGAGGTGGTAATGAAACAGAAAGCAATGTATTCAAAACCTGTAAAATCTAGTCAGAAGAAAAGGTCAGAAAGTCAATGAAGCCACCTCAGGGTAAGGTGGAAGCTGTTTATTCATGTGCATCCCCAAAAAGCTGAATATTCAGACCTTCAAATGAAAAAAGATGGGAGGAAACTCATCTACTCTCTTTATATCCCCCCCACCCCCGCCCAGTAATATACATATGTATATATGTACATATATATTTTTTAATTAATTAAAAGTTGAATTCAGTGGAAAATGAGACTATACCCCCTCAAATTCAACTGGAGAATTTGTCTTTATCTTCCTTCTAGGCTGAGCCCTGGGGCCATGTCCTTAGTAAAGCCATCCAAACTCCTTCCCACACCCCTTGTTGTTGTTTAGTTGTGTCCCAGACTCTTTGTGATCCCATTTGGGGGTCTTCTTGACAGAGGCACTAGAGTGGTTTGCC